CGAGAGAGAGGGATATATATATATATATAATATATACCTATGTATATGTGTGTATATATATGTATATACATATATATATATATATATATATATATATATATATATATATATATATATATGCACAAGAAAACCATCCCAATATCACAGGTTACCATCAAAGCTCAGCAGTAATTTGCTACACATGTCCAGCCCACCTGCAGACCAAAGTTTGTCCCACATTGATGCTGCTTTATCATGCACATAATGAATCTGTATCTGCCTGAGCCTTGTGCTCAGGCTTCTGGAAAGGCTTTATTGTTGTTACAGAGTCAGGGCATGCTGTTTATTTTGACTTGTCTGTGCTGTACTGATCTGCTTTTTTGAGTTAAGTGTTTGGGTTGTGCAGGGTGACCGTTTTAGGCCGATTTTTCCAAGATCCAAAGACTGTCAGAGTACTCCATATTCTGACCTCAGAAGTCTATTGTTGGTAAAATAACTAGTGTGAACTGTGAGACATGGTGTTAAGTATTCATGGCATGTTGGTATTGCTGTTGCTCGGCAAAGAACTTATGGGAACCTGGAGCTGGCATCGATCGAAAAACAAAGGAAACCAGAAGATGAAGCCAGTGCTTATAAAATAGCTAATGGGAACCAAGATGCACGTATTGTGTTGTTGAAAGAAACAGTGGGAACCAAGATCCACGGTTTTGTTTTGTATACGAACCAATGGGAACCAGGATGCAGCATAATGTGTTGTCATAAGATCCATTGGGAACCGGGATCTAGGGTGCTGTTTGGTCGAAAGACCCAGTGAGAACCAGGATCCAGGGTCTTGTTTTGTTGAAAGAACTAGTGAGAAACAAGATCCAGCATCTTGTTTTGTCAACAACAAAAAAAAACCAGTGGAAACCAAGATCCAGGGTTTTACTTTGTTGAAAGATCCAGTGGGAGCCAGCATCCGGGGTCTTGTTTTGTCAAAAGAACCAGTGGGAGCCAAGATCCAGCATCTTGTTTTGGCAAAAGAACCAGTGATAACCAGGATCCAGCGTCTCGTTTTGTCGAAAGAACCGGTGAGAACCAGGATGCAGCATCTTGCTTTGTCGAAAGAACCAGTGGGAACCAGGAACCAATATTCGGAACCAGGCACATATCTGTTTGAAGGCATTCCATAGAAAACCCGTTTGGATTGGGCGGTAGATGCCATGGTACCCAAGAAGCAGTGAGTTGCCACTGGTCTTGGCAGATCCAACGCACGGAAGTCTAATGGCTTTCCGACACAAATATACGGTAAGGACTGGACGGTAGACGAAGTCAGACAGGACAGTGCAGCAAAGTACAGGGCAGCATATGACAGGACAGGTCAGGGCAGGAATATAATGAGCTTGACTGAACTTGACTAAACTGAGTCAGTGCCGTCCGCTCAGTCTCCTCGTTCTCTCCTGCAAGGAACACATGGTTTGATAGCGTTGATTCTGTTTGTGGACTGCTCCCCACACCTCCCGAAAAGATCGAACCGGACCGACCCAGACCCTGCGAAGCTGAGGCGCTTTAACCACCCTGACCCGAACGAAGCAACGGGCAGACTGGGGATGGGCAGAAGGCCAGGAAAATACATCATAGGTCGAATCGAACATGGAGACAGGGACAGTTTAGTCAGAACAGGACAGCACAAAACTTGGCCGGGTCGGGACAGGATTTAGTCCAGTTCTAAGTCTACCCTCACCTACTAACAGTCACAAACTGATGTTCTCTCACTGGGTCTCATCAACTCATTTGACTGTACTTGCTCTTGTTCTGTTTTTATCTGTTGAATTTTGCCGTTTCCTTACTTTTGCCGTTTTGGTCGTGTGCCATGCTGACCTGTTCCTCGTTGACCATGGAGTCATTTTAAGATGATGGTTTTTAATTCATTCCACTTTTATCAGAACCTCCTGGTATCTTAAAAGTTGATCATTATCATAATGTCATGACTGGTATAGTATCAACGATGCACTAAGAGCTCAACGACTGTTTTCAGCTACAATGGTCCAAATCTCCCCCAACTTCCATAGGGTCTGGCTCTAACTTAGAGTAAGCCTTTCCAACTTCTTTAGACACGATGCTCAGGATACTCACAACAATGCCACTAAATCAAACAAGCAGACAAGTTTGCTTCGACTTCAAATTAGTTGATACGCGGGGAAAAGCCAGAATTTCTCGGTACCCTTAACACGTTTCATGTTTCATGTCTCGGTGACTTATTTCATGTTTGAGAACTGACCGATTGCCTTTTCTTGTGCCCGAGCTAAGACTGGTCAATTTGCATCGGTCTTCAGTCTCAGTTGGACGTTTTCAGTTTTCGATGAACATAATTTGTTGCTATCAGGCTGCGATGCACTTCCTACTGCAGCCAGCTGAAAAAAATGCATCCTCTCTTCAGGACAGGTAGACTAATCGAATGGCGTTGTTAAATATATTGGCGATTTCCGACCACAGATCACAGATAACACGCGGGACTGGCAAGAAGGCTCATGGTGTACGGACACACTTCTTCGCAGTGGTGGGAGACGGGACAAAGACGACGGAGGGACGAAGGAAGCGGGAAGAGGAAACAGAAGGCTCTTCTAGGGAAGGTGATCACCCGTGGCGTAGTATCCGTTTTCGTCGGCCTCCCACGTGACGGTGTAGGTGACGCCCTCCCAGTCGTACGAGTAGGTGCCACTCCTCACGTAGTTGCCCGTCTCCGGCTCGTTACCCGGGAACGAGACTCCGTTCTCATCGGCGCGGATGCCGTTGCTGGTTTCGTGCCTGAAGGACAGGTGTCCAAATGAACAAATGCGGTGTTGAAATCGAATTCGACATCCACATGAAATTACATGGCATGCTCCAAACATCACGGTTGCTCATTGTTGTTACGCACAACAATTTTGATAATAAGGTGATGACTTCACAGCGCCTCGATAATGGGGTGATTAACAGGGCATTGGGCGAATGCAGCTTTTATGATCGTTATATGATATAACAATGACAAATAAGCGCCTAGCATCTGCCTTCTGGGACTGGCGCTCTTACTCGGCCTGGTAGGAGCCATCCTCGTTGATCTGGAACTGCTGGTTTACGATTTTGGCGTCCTTGTCGGCCCAGGTTAGAGCCACCAGGCAGAGGACAATCACCTGCAGCACGTGATACAAGGTCGCATCAGGTCAGCGTCGACACGAGAATGGCTTGAATCCCATCACCAGGCGACAGCATGTCTGCCAGTTCTAAATGCTTACAGCCTGTCCCACCCGTGGTGTAGTGGCTCTCGGTCATAACCGTGGGTGCGTAACCTCGGCCATAACCATGGGAACTATCGCGTCGTGAAGGGTGCCGATAGGGTAGTGGTTAACGCATCTAACGTAACATAAGCCACTGCACGTATGGGAAACCGGGGGTACGGGGTTCGGTTGTCCGCAGTGCCCGCCCTTCCTGCCAGAACGAAAAGCAGGCGACGCCATGAAGCATCAGCAGCTGAGTGCGTCGGTAAGTTCCAATGACGGCGGATAACGCGATGAGGCGCCGGGACTACCTTTGGTGTTGCCCCACCCCCTCCCCCCGAGATTCAGGAAAATTGGGCCCCAGGCCTATGGTGGTGCGTGCAAGCAAACAAGCCAAAATGCTTCTGAGTGCCACCACCTCTACTGTTGGTGACATGGTTTGACTGTTGGTGATATCAAACTTCCCCGGGCATATCCGTGCACATGACATAGACCTTATGCTTGAATCTTACGGAGGCGCCTGCAGTTCCCACATATACTGACGATCAGAGTGCTATACTCACGAGCTTCATGTTTGGGGCGGGACCGGACGGCTGCTGGGCAGAGCAGGGCGAGTGGTGCCAGTGAGGACACGGAGCGCGGTTTTATAGCAGACTGTCACACCCACCCCCAGCCCGGGGCGACTTACGCTCATCCGCCGTTGAATTCGGCCTTGGGTTGTCAAAAATATTTGCCGGGAGACCGGTCATTGGTGGACAGTGCGACGACTGCGTGCCGCCCCGCGCGCGAATCTCCGATTACGCCGGCCAGAAAGCCAATCAGGGAAAGCGTGCTGACAGCTCCCTTGATCGAGGACAAGCCTGTAGATGGGCATAATTATTTGAAGGCAACCTTTGCCTGGTTCCCAAGATTTCTTCCCGGGAACCCAGGAACCAGTCTGGCAATACGCCGAAAGATCCAGCAAGAACCAGGATCCAGCTTGACAATAGGTCGAAAGATCCATCAAGAACCAGGATCCAGCTTCACAATAAGCCAAAAGATCCAACAACAACCAGGATCCAACTTGACATAAAGACGAAAGATCCCGCAAGAACCAGGATCCAGCCTGATACCAAACCGAAAGAACCAGCAAGAAACAAGATCCAACTTGGACTGGACATAGGGGCCCAGCAAGAACCAAAATTCAGCCTGGCATTACGCTGAGAGATGCAGCAAGAACCAAGATCCAGCTCAGGCTTAAAATGGGGATTCAGTTTCATCAAGAACCAAGATCCATTCTAAAATTACGTTCAGGAACCAGCAAGAACCAGAATCTCGCCAGGAGTTCTTCACAGCAGCTGCTGCTCACACACCCCACTTTATCAGGTCCAGCAATGTGTGCTGTTCTTAATGTAACTTAATAAAATTAAGTTTATGAACATTGTCGGTTATCTGCTCAGGCTGCTTCTCATATACCATAAAACAAATTTGCTCTTCTTCAATGTTAATAACACTAGAAATTCAGGAGAACGAAATCAATAACGTGTCACGATACAGGCATGATGCAGACCTGCTAGGTCTGCAACTGAGCTGTTAGCTGCCTAATGTTATCCTGAAAGGAAAGGTCCGCTCTTCCGTGCGTATATCACAGAAATAATGAAAAAGAGAGAGATAGATAGATGAGAGCGAGAATAGGAGAGAGAGAGAGAGAGAGAGAGAGAGAGAGAGAGAGAGAGAGAGAGAAGAGAGAGAGAGAGAGAGAGTAGAGAGAGAGAGAGAGATAGGAGATAGTAGAGAGAGAGCGGGAGGAGAGAGAGATGGAGAGAGTAGGAGTAGAGAGAGAGAGAGAGAGAGAAGAGAGAGGGAGAGAGAGAGAGAGAGAGAGAGAGGAGAGAGAGAGAGAGAGAGAGAGAGAGAGAGAGAGAGAGAGAGAGAGATATATATATATATATATATATATATATATATATATATATATATATATATATATATATATATATACATCAGTTTTCATGAGAAGAGCACAGCATGATTATCAATCAAATCACGCAACAACTATCCCCAACACGTCGCACATCAACGTGGCGCCACCGCGCGTCACTCATCAAGGCCGCAGATAGGGAAGCTAGTATCACATGTTTCGCCTTTCTAAAACCCAAAGGGAATGTGACGTCAAGGAACTGAGGCTGCTGGTGGTGAGGTTGCTCCGTGTGAGAACGCAGGACAACGTTTCTATTTTGTTGACTTTTTATTGCTCACACCAAAACACACCATCTAACGTGTAATAATCTATTTAAGTCATCCACAGCAATGTCAGACACAATCAAAATGTGTACGTGTTGAAATGCAGCTTCTGGTGTTCACAAATGCACTTTGGGCACGTGATATGCCGGAAAGTTTGAGAAGCAGCTCAGAAGAGGGAAATGGAAATTTCAGATGCTGTTTTCCAAGAATATTATGGCATTTTGAACGGTTCTTTTAGATATTCTATTCCAGATATTCTAGAATATTCCATTTTATTGTTTATTCTTCTATGCACTTCGAAGGTGACTAGGAGGTAGACAAATGAAGCAACCATATATACATATACATATATATGTATATATATTTCTCTCTCTCTCTCTCTCTCTCTCTCTCTCTCTCTCTCTCTCTCTCTCTCTCTCTCTCTCTCTCTCTCTCTCTCTCTCTCTCTCTCTCTCTCTCTCTCTCTCTCTGCTTATAAAATAACTAATGGGAACCAAAATGCACGTCTTGTGTTGTTGAAAGAAACAGTGGAAACCAAGATCCACGGTTTTGTTTTGTATACGAACCAATGGGAACCAGGATGCAGCATCTTGCTTTGTCGAAAGAACCAGTGGGAATCAGGAACCAATATTCGGAACCAGGCACATATCTGTTTGAAGGCATTCCATAGAAAACCCGTTTGGATTGGGCGGTAGATGCCATGGTACCCAAGAAGCAGTGAGTTGTCACTGGTCTTGGCAGATCCAACGCACGGAAGTCCAATGGCTTTCCGACACAAACATACGGTAAGGACTGGACGGTAGACGAAGGCAGCCAGGACAGTGCAGCAAAGTACAGGGCAGCATATGACAGGACAGGGCAGGGCAGGAATATAATGAGCTTGACTGAACTTGACTGAATTGAGTCAGTGCCGTCTGCTCAGTCTCCTCGTTCTCCCCTGCAAAGAACACATGGTTTGATAGCGTTGATTCTGTTTGTGAACTGCTCCCCACACCTCCCGAAAAGATCGAACCGGACCGGCCCAGACCCTGCGAAGCTGAGGCGCTTAACCACCCTGACCCGAACGAAGCAACGGGCAGACTGGGGCATGGGCAGAACGCCAGGAAAATACATCATAGGTCGAATCGAACATGGAAACAGAGACAGTTTAGTCAGAACAGGACAGCACAAAAGCTGGCCGGATCGGGACAGGATTTAGTCCAGTTCTAATTCTACTCTCACCTAATAACGGTCAAAAACTGATGTGCTCTCATTGGGTCTCATCAACTCAAATTGATGACATTTGACTGGACTTGCCCTTGTTCTGTTTTTATCTTTTGAATTTTGCTGTTTTTTTAATTTTACCGTTTTGGTCGTGTGCCATGCTGACCCGTTCCTCGCTGACCATGGAGTCATTTTAAGACGATGGTTTTTAATTCATTCCACTTTTATCAGAGCCTCCTTGTATCCTAAAAGTTGAACATTATCATAATATCATGACTGGTATAGTATCAACGATGCATCAAGAGCTAAACGACTTTTTTCAGGTACAATGGTCCAAACCTCCCCCAACTTCCATAGGTTCTGGCTCTAACTTAGAGTAAGCCTTTCCAGCTTCTTTAGACACGATGCTCAGGATACCCACAACAATGCCACTAAATCAAACAAGCAGACAATTTTGCTTCGACTTCAAATTAGTTGATATGCGGGGAAAAGCCAGAATTTCTCGGTACCCTACGTTTATTAACCACCCCCCCCCCCCGCCCTATTCTATTCCAACCAGTACAGAAACACCAAAGTAGTGCTGAAAATAACCCCTGCAGAACACGAGGTTAAGACCATCCATGAGGACGTCGGACCAAATCAGGGTTTCGCCTGCATCATAGAGTAATGTTTCTTCCATGGACACCTGACACGCACAAGCATCATACAATCCACCTTCCGTGGGGCAGTTCGACAATGTCCGTTAAAGTAGGACACGCTTTAGTGGTTGGGGCGCCCCCAACTCCCTCCTTTCTTCCGCTCCGGTAATTTTCCTAGAACTTCTCTTTAGGTGGTAGATCTAATATATCTCCGCACGTCGAACCACATACGTATCAATTGAGGAAAAAATCACACGTTGGTTGCTAGAGTGCCTGCATGGCTGCATACCAGCTGCTTGATGACATTCTTTTTCCGTAAATGGTCGCAGCAGAATGTTCATTTCGGTGTTCCAGAGCTGAATGCGGCGAACAGTGAACTTCACATCAACGTTATAACAACATATTTCGTTCAGAATAGATGCGTTAAGATTAATCAACTGTTCAGTTACGAATGGAAAGTCATTTATGATGATAAAATATCGATAGTCGTCATGTGAATACACATCATTACCATCATGCACATCATGCACATCATGCACATCATGATGATTATGTGGTTTTAAGTCACGAATGTCTCCTCAGCCGGCGATAAATATAGCTGTGCCACATCATTAAGTTTATCGCCCATACCGACTGATTTTCTCATCAACGTTGTCTCACAAAACATTAGGCTGCAAATGTCCAGCATTAGCCTGCAGGTAAGTACAGCGAACGCACTAACGCGTAAAGGCCCGTTCACATCCTAAGAACTGGCTGCGAAATCTGCTGCTGATTCTGCAGTCATCAGCTTTTGCGAACTAGAGGTATCACTTTTAATCCCCCAGGAGCACAAAGTGCAGGTAAAAAGAGCTCAAAAGTGGTATTGCCCGCAACACCCGACGACCGCAGAATCTGCTGCGGACTTTGCAGACTTCAGCTGCTGCAGACTGGAGGTACCACTTTTTAGTTCTTTTAATCCAGGCTTTGCGGGCAGGTGGCCTAAATATGACAGATCTGGTGCACAACACCCGACGGCTTCAGAAGATGCTGCTTCAACTGCAACAAGTCAGCATGCCGCAAACGGGCCATAGCATGATACTGTTAGATGGATCAATTATGCCCTAAGGTACGGTTTTTTACTTTTCTGCCATCAGTTGGAAACTAAGCCCATTAAAGGCTCTGTTCAAACCAACAATAGCACTGTCAACTGAGCGTCGGAGTTCCGATTCGCTCCACTGTAACAACACGCTTTGGATACTGCACCACGATTTTGATACCTCACCTTAGAAACCCTGTTCCCCACTTCGCGAAGGCATAGGATTAAGCTTTTATGTTCATGCGTGCATATATATATATACATATATATATATATACATATATATATATATATATATATATATATATACATGCTTCTGCGCTACGCTTCTTGACGCCGCAGTCCAGAACATGATGCCTGAGGCAAGCTGTCCACCGCTTTGATGATGGTACATCACGCGGGCGGTTTGTCACGGGGGTTCGCACCAGTGGCGGTGCATTCAGGGGATCGGCAGCGCTCTGGTCAGAGGGATGGGCGTAGGCCGGCCGACAATGTGGTCACTGGCAGCTCTTGCTGGCGCCGATGCCAAGAGGGCACC